AATTGTTATTCTTTTTATTTTTATAATATAAATAAACACTTAAGTGTCATGTAAACGCAATTTGTTATTGCGGTCATTAGACTTTACTAGCATTAATTCACGTTATGGTAGGTATACGGATACTTTTGTTCACCCTCTGTATAAGCGTTCAGTTGGAAAAGATGAAATAAGATTAAAGAAAGGATATACTATCCGCTATCTTCTTGCTAATGCAAAATGGAAGGGTGGAATGGCAAATCAGAAGCATGCAACTGACCCTACATTCAGTCTAAGTCTTCATAAAATTCAAAAAGTGGTTGTCATAAAGAATGAACCAGCTTTGTATTATCTCGAAGGTGATGAATTTACACCAAAGCGGGGGTTTGTTAGAGAAGAACTCATGTTAATAGCTGACTCAGAAAAAGTTGGGTATCCGCCCCAAAGCATATTATCTGTGCATGTTGCCTATGTCATTAATAGGAAGATAGATCAAGCTATTGATTATGCTAGAAGACGTGGTAGTCAGTATTTAGGAAGGACTGGTCAAATAAATGATCATGATGTGTATCTTTGGTCTTGTGAGAATGGTGCACATCAATGGGAGTATCCGTTAAAATATATCATGAAAAAATTCGAATGGTGTCCTCTATGCCATCATACTTAAGAGCGTAAATACTGATATTTTTTGAGGATTTGTTAGGCAAGAAATTCCCACCATGTAGGGCTAAGTTCTTAGATAGGCTACACTTAGATGGATATAATGAGGAATTACGTCTTGCATTCGAATTTCAGGGTTCTCAATACTATCGTCACAATAGCTTCTACCACCGGGAGAATGAAAATCTAAAATCACAAAATATGCACGATCAGAAAAAGCAGGATATATGCAAGGACCAAGGTATATGTCTTATCGAAGTGCCTCATACTGCAGATTTATATCCATTCATTAAACATACACTAATCGAGAAAGGATTCTTGGATAAAGTGAAGCCTAACTCTTGAAAGTTCACGTGATTTTGGGCGAACCAAGTTTGCTGAAATTTGCAAGATTATTTTTAGAATATCATTATTAATAGTTCGACATGAAAATAAAGAAACTTGAGTCAGTTGATAGGCTTGTATATTATATTAATGAGATTAAAGATGCCCAAAAATTTTGCAGATATTCGAGTGTTCCCCAATGACCTTTCACACTTCTAATCACTGGCCGTACCAATTCAGGAAAAACTAATGAGGTTCTTAATCTCATGCTTGGGAATAAGCTTTATCGAATGTTTAATGAGAAGAAGGAAGGGACACGTTATATCAAAAATGATGATTTGCTATTAATTGGCCACTAACTCAAGAAGCCAAAATATATGTATTTCAAATCGGCGTATCAGATAATTGCAAATAGTCCAAAACCCTATCATGAAAATATTACATTCTGAGCTTTGAAGCCAGATAAAATCCCTAAAGTGGATTCGTTTTCTCTGGAATAGAGGGACAGTAGTCATATTCAAAGATGTATGCGCTAACCCAAAAAAAGTGCAAGAGAAAATTATTCCTTATTTCGTCGAAGGGTGCCACTATAACATCAGTTCGATATATGTATCCCAGAGTTACTTTGACTACCCAAAGATAATACGAAAAAATCTTACACATATCTGCCTATTTAACAGGTTCTGCACTACAGACGAACTAGTCAGAATTGTGCATCAATATACTAATTACTGGCGTAGTGTAATTAAGATTATTGATAAGGCATTATTTGAGCAAAATTCATTGTTTTCAATCTAACTGTATCTCGCGAGCATCAACATAGGGTACGTATTGGTTGGGATCAAATTCTGGAAAAAACTGCCTCAACTAATAAATAAAATCTAACTTCATAGATGCCAGTTCTTTTTTCGCCTCCTGTACCTGCATCTTCAGATCCTCAACTTCATATTGTAATCTTTTATTTGCAGTAACCCACTCCCTATACTCCTTTTCTATATCTAGCATAAATTTCTCAAAAGTTTGTCTATTATAATTAAGCAGATGTTGGATCAATACTTTAAGCTCATTCATAATCTGACAGTTGTTTTCATCCTTATGATTATGCTTTAGTACCTCTGGGCTAGGCAATTTTATCAGTTTAGACGCCATTATCTGGTAATTAAAGTTTTGATTTCTTCATTGAAGAATCAATGAAAAGGTTGACATTGGATAATGCTTTTGCAATTGCTAAAGAACATGGTGAAACATGTGTTTCTACTGAATATATTAATGCTAGTACCCCAATGTGATGGAAATGTGCAAACAGTCATGAATGGTCTGCAACTTTTAATAATATAAAAAATCATAAGAGATGGTGCCCACATTGCGCAGTTAATAGACCTCTTACTATTGAAAATGCAAAGCAACTAGCTTGTAGCAAAAATGGGTTATGTATTTCTACCAAATACATTAATGTCAATACTCCAATGCAATGGCAGTGTATGAAAGGTCATGAATGGTCTGCAACTTTTAATAATATAAAAAATCATAAGAGATGGTGTCCACATTGCGCAGGTAATAGACCTCTTACTATCGAAAATGCAAAGCAACTAGCTCATAGCAAAAATGGGCTATGTGTCTCTACTGAATACATTAATGTCAATATTCCAATGCAATGGCGTTGTTCCAAAGGACATGAGTGGAATGCATCTTTTAATAATATAAAAAATGGTAAGAAATGGTGCCCACATTGCGCGGGTAATAGACCTCTTGCTATCGAAAATGCAAAGCAATTGGCATGTAATAGAAATGGAACATGTCTTTCTAAATATTTTACTAATAGTCGTTCAGCTTTATTATGGAAATGTGCCGAAGGACATTTATGGACTGCATCATTTAGCAATGTTAAACATTCAAACTCGTGGTGTCCATTCTGCTCGAAATATAAAAGAGGAAAACTATGTCGAGAAATAGTATCAAAATATCTTGGACCACCATCTAAAATACGCCGACCTGATTTCTTAAAAACACCCAAATATTATCAAGGATTAGAACTTGATATTCCATATTATGATTATGGTTTTGCCATTGAAGTCCAAGGGGAGCAACACGAAAAATTTAACAAGTTCTTTCATAGAAGAGATCCAAATAATTTTATCAGACAGCAAGAGCGGGATCAACTCAAGAAAGAATTATGCGAGGAGAATCAGATCGTCTTGAGGTATGTTTGGTATTACGAAGACCCACATATAGTTATTCCTGAACATCTTCGAGAGTTGGGTCTCATTGAATAAAGACAAAACTTCAATTACATTTATGCAATTTATTTTTTTTTACATTTTTTTACATATCGTAGATTTACGAAATCTATGAATGAGGGGCCACACCACCCATATGTAGCATACACATATGCAAAACTTTATTATTTTTCAATATTGCTAAAAAAACAAATGTGATGATTTATTAACAAGAATATGTTAATCTAAAGTCTAAACATGCTAATACTATTCGCTATCATTATTAATTACATCTAAAGTTCGCTTTGTCTTTGGAGTTATGAAAGTTTTAGGTGTGGCAACAGTCCGAGGAGGCGTGCGATATCCTTCTTCATCAGAATCGTCAAGAAAATTTTCCAGATTAACATTATTCTTCGTATTTATCATGTCCAAAGTCTGATTAATGATAGCCTTAGCGCATAATATTTCTTTTAAAGTGTATGCAAGGGGTTCTGACTTATTTAAACGTCCGGCAACTGTGTGAACTTTTCTATGTTTAACACGAGAAATGTATCCCTTGGGATAGTCCATTATTAGTAGCTGAAACCTGTTAGCTCCATGTAAAATTCCTACCACTTGCAACTTTCTTACAAGATCTTCCTTCCCATCACACGCCACAGCAAGCTGACCTATCATATCCTTTAACATTTTGTTTATTTTTAAAGAGTCATTCAAGTATTTGGTCCCGCTTTTTCCTTCCCATTTACGTCCAGCTTCTGTCGCGCCAAATTCTAAACGATCTCCACTTAGTCTGAAAACTCCATCGCCTTTACGGCCAATCTTTCTATCATTAATTGTTCTCTTATGGTTCTTCCTGTCACTAGAAGCGAAACTCATACTTTCACCACGTGCTAACTCAAAGTTCTGATTATCAAAAGCTGGGTCTATCAAAAGACCCCATATGTTCATCTGATACCACCCTTCTAACTTTGAATCAATAAAGGGATTTTGAGCTTTTTGCCATAGGAATAACATACTTCGATATGCATAATTTATATAGTTATGATCGAAATGAAGTTCATTATCGTATTCATCTACAAATGGTTCAAGAATTAACTTTTGTAATTGTTTTATGTTGTCAACTGTATATTTTTTCATTAAGTCTTTAAGAGAACGTTCAAGATTTGGAAAGTCCTTAGATTCTAAATTAGTAATTTCATCCCATTCTTCCGTGGAGAATAATGATTCAGCATCTGTGTCGGCATCATTTATTATGAATGAATGTAAGCATGTCTCTCCAGGTAAATTTCTCGTAAACTTATAGATAACCTCTTCCACCTTTCGACCACTCTTAAGTATCCACATGCAATTGGGGTCCAATTCCGAGTACGCTTTATCAAATTTTACTAGGTCAAGTTCAAAAGGTGAAATCTCATTATCCGATAATTCATCATCACCAACTTCTGAGGAAGAAGATGGCCTGTTATCAGAAGCAGATGGTTCGTCATAATCAATTGCGGAGGAAGCAGACGCGGATGGATTCTGAATCGGTCGCTTTCTTGGATTGGTCTACAAAATAATATAAAATAATATAAAATAATATATAATCGGATAAGCCCATGGTTGCGAAAAAAAGTTATAAGGAAATCAGATAACATACAGATGGAACTTTATACTTACATCATCCTTTTCCAAATCATGGGGTCGCTTAAAAGATGATACATGGTCGATGTTATTAAGAATATCCGTGCGAACCTTCGCCATAGATTTTGCTCCATCTGTGTATGTAGAAATGGTAGCTTCTCTCTGTGTATTGTATAACAGAAGAAATGAGAGCTTGTTGAAAAGATTAGCAACCGGAGAAATCATTAAACTCACCCTGATCATGTCGACAGTTAAACAAGTTTTCACACGTTCGACGAGTTTCTTGTAGTTATAAAAAAAAAGCAATAATTAGCACTTACACAGAAATAAGCATAAAAATGGTTTCTCCTGTATTTTGAAGAAATTCGGCAGCGACAAGCAGTTTCCCAGCTAACTGTCAAAAGGATATCGACAAGCAGTCATCACCGGGCGACAAGCAGTTTCCCAGCTAGATATCGGTTTCTTCGGTCATTATTAATGGCAGTACTTTCCAGAAAACATACCTTCCAGTCGGACGTTACAAGCTGTTTTGCTAGCAGTGCGGAATCGTCTTTCATGTTAGAACGTGACGTTAGATCTTTTTTAATACGATCGAAAACACGAGCTTCGCTTTCAAAGCAATAGTGGGCCGCAATTTTTTCAAACGTCCAATGTTCTGATGGTAATTCAAAAAAGTTTGACATTTTTTTAGTTGAATGGCGCGTTAGAAATTATTGCTTATTGTCCGGAGCATTAGTGAAGCTGTGAAGGACTATTTACTGTGCTGTCTTAGTAAAAAATGTTTTATCCCCTGTTTTCCTTTTTTTGAAAATACATCGTGATCGTGTAACTCTTTTTTTAAAAAAAACCCCTGAAATACTCATTATAACAAAAAATAATATTAGGATTGCGAAACTTGTAGACTGCGTAACAATCGCATAGTACGAGGACGCGACGGACTTGAACGGTTTCCGTTTCCCTAGTCAGTTATGATGTGCAAGCCATATGAGTGACGGGCTAGCACATGATTTTCGAACTGGGAGACTGGGAGTTTCGATAAAACAAACAAGAAATGAAGCCCGAAATGTGTGCAAACGAAAAATCATGAAATATATGATGCTATCAAAGAGGGAGGGAGTACGCGGATCCTAGGCCATTTAATGCGAGTCCCAGCATCAATTTATTTCTTTGCTCTCTTACATTTTTTACGAAAAGTATCTATAACTAATTTATTTCTATCAATATAATTAACTGCAAGATTCTCACCCCCACGCTCTTTTACTAATCTAGATTTTCTAAATAAATTATCCCACACATATCTACGCCTATCTATATCACTACCACCTGCACAGACTATGTAAAATAATATTTCCCGCAAGAGAAGTTTTCTGATACATTACAATAAAGGTAATTCGATTTTTTTATCGTCAGTATGATACTGCGCCAAGAATCAAGAATTCGGCACGTGAATATGCTTAATTTTACTGCGTCGATGATGCACATGGAATTGACTAGATAAGATAATATCCCATCACGGGGATTTATTTT